GGGGTCGTTCTTCTCTATCGGCGTCTCTAGTGAAATAACTGGAACAATTACTTCCCTGATAGAAATAATGCTCAAAGACACCAAAATAAATCAGCATCTGACTGATACATTGCTGAATAGTGAATGCATGAGTGAGTATGTATTTACGCCGCTTTTAGCAATATTCTGGGAATATCAGGGTGGGGAAACTAGAAATGGTGAAGTTGTGCTATTAGGTTCATGCTTCGAAACACATAAACACATAAACACCTCGTGGACACGAGCGTGATCAGTATTCATTATTGTGCTTAATACGGCTAAAGTACTAAGATTTGATTTGGTACTAAAATCTACACATCCCAACAGACACGTTACATATTCTACAGTGATTAAGTAGTAAGACATGATTAAGCATGTCTTAAGATGTACATATCCCAACCAGAATGCATATGAAGTCATATAATCTAAAGTGATTAAGTACTAAGGTCTGATTAAGTACTGAAACGTACATATCAGAACAAAGTTGACGTCATATAATCTAGCGTAGATCCCCGTCCTAAATGCCAGTTCATCTCGTGGGTGGACAAAGAGATTTCCACCAAAGCGATCACTGACGCAGTAGAAAAAAAATATGTTAAGGCAATTGTCTTTTTGCATGTGTAGGGTTACCTGACTGACTTAAAAATGTTAGAACTATATCAATACTTGTCACAGTCCGCATGACCGACCACCGACTTACGCAACACACTTAGCAAACCCGTGCATTTGTTAGGTACGGTTTGTTCCGTATGATAATCTCCTTTCCTCGAAGGGGATTTTACTAATCATAGGGTTTAGCGGTTTTACCATTGTGCTTAATGATGGTAAATGTAGAAAGTGTTCAGTCCCAATACACTATAATTGCAGCGTAGATACCTCAAATGAAGTCAATTTAAATTAAAGTTATATACAATCTATTATCGATCATTCTATTTTATAATACAAACCTGATGCTCATGATGTCAGTCACTAGGCTGTCTGGCGGAGGCTGGACTATTTAACATCAAACGTAACTAAATAACACATCTGATAGTTATTTTCAGCTTACAAAGATACAAAGACAGACTATAACCGCACATGACGTCACACTTCACACTGTCTGAAATCATTGTCAAAAGCTAAACAAAATTAATGTGTGTTTTTTTAGATATCACTAATATATCAGGCCATAACACGCTAACTATACCATATATTTCACACACACATCGTGGTCAATGTTGTGTTTTTATTCTTTAATTATAGCACGTATCGATACTCAAAACGTATGTCGATGACGTCTTTCTCCTTCAGTAACCTCGGAAACGCAGGTTTGAGGAAGCGACCAGATCATATGTACGGCCGAGAATATATCTGTCATTGACAACCATAAACACTAACATACACTCCACTATCGATCTCATACCTAAACATTGGCGATATTTGGAACCTATATCACTATGTCTCTTTACTTCGGTATCTCTGTGGCTATTCCGTGTTATATTTCTGAGCAGTAGCTTAAAGATGTAGAAATGATGTCTCGTGTTTCCAATATCTTTGCATTGCCCCGAGTTACTCAGAGTATTGTGACACTCGGCGAATCAAATATCGCAGACTGTAATAGATCGTAATGTCTCCCTCCAGGCCATATGAAGCAATACAGAGTTTACAACATGTTACAGTTAAATGAATGCCGAAAAGTGGATCGGTTCACAAAAAAATTGATTCAGTATTCTGATGTTAGAGTTAATTCAATGCTAAAAGTGGATCGGTTCAGAAAAAGTCTATTCTGTATTCTGATGTTGTATACAGTTAATCCAATTCCAGAAGTGGATCGGTTCAAATACAAGTATTTCCCGTATTCTGATGTTACAGTTAATTCAATGCTAAAAGTGGATCGGTTCATAAAACCATTTGTTCAGTATTCTGATGTTACAGTTAATTCAATGCTAAAAGTGGATCGGTTCACAAAACCATCTGTTCAGTATTCTGATGTTACAGTTAATTCAATGCTAAAAGTGGATCGGTTCACAAAACAATCTGTCCCGTATTCTGATGTTACAGTTAATTCAATGCCAGAAGTGGATCGGTTCACAAAACCATCTGTTCAGTATTCTGATATTACAGTTAATTCAATGCTAAAAGTGGATCGGTTCACAAAACCATTTGTTCAGTATTCTGATATTACAGTTAATTCAATGCTAAAAGTGGATCGGTTCACAAAACCATCTGTTCAGTATTCTGATGTTACAGTTAATTCAATGCTAAAAGTGGATCGGTTCACAAAAAATGTGTATTCCGTATTCTGATGTTACAGTTAATTCAATGCCAGAAGTGGATCGGTTCACAAAATACTCTATTCAGTATTCTGATGTTACAGTTAATTCAATGCTAAAAGTGGATATGGATGGAACAGTTACGAAAAGCATCAGTTTGGTACAAGGTTTGGTTTGTTTCTTGTTTTACGTCGCACTTAGTATGACGGCGGTCTGTAGGTAATCGAGTTAGCACCAGACAATTCATCAATTGACATTATGATTATCGAATTACACAACTGAATGCAGTGACGCGCATAAACAAAGTCTGCGAGTCTGAAGACTCGATCCCGCTCGTCGCTTCTTACATGAGTTGCTGAAGTCCAATTCTACCCCGGATTTGCATGGATCTTGGAACAAAGTAAGAAGACCATTAAATATTTTTGGATTCCTCGATTGTAACTGCAATCTTCTACTTTAACACATTATGCATGAATAATAATGTGTTATTGTGTTATCAATACTGTGCATGATTATACTTCAGCTACACACACACATAAACATATATAAATAAAATAGAAACATATCAAATTCAATTAAACATTTATATCCTACATTGTCAGGAGACAAAATTTCCAGAACACTTCGTGACTTGAACACGTGTTTGCCCTGAAGAAACACGACTTAACAGCGCTTGCATGACACAGCAGGGAAATAGATTACCCTGGACACTTGGTCACCATTGCCCATAAGGTAACTGCTGGTTGAAATCATAGACACTTGAAAATTATTGTCAGCATTTTAGATATCTGAATTATGAATTATGTTTTATCAATTATAAGAACAATCACCCAAATCTAAAATGACAAAATTATACCAGCTTCTCGAACATGTTCAGTTTGAGTCCATGACATATCAGAAACTACTGAGTCCACACCCGCTCACAACAACAGCGCCTGTTAATCCTCTGTCCATAACTTATTCATCCTCTGTTGATTTGCCTTATAAAGACCTCAGGCAAACTAAGCTGGCCATGCTGTGGTCACAGTCTATGTTCAAAGGAGACCAGCCTATTAGATTCATGGCTGAAGGCTGTTCGTGTCAGAGGATGCTGTTATCCTGCCGCAGCGTACACTATCGAACAGTTGCAGATTACATAGTGTGGCTTCCTGATCGCCGCCAAACGATGTTTTGCAATGAGAAATGGTCACCAGACGCCTGTATCCTTCTCCAATGAGAGTATAACAATTACGCAACAAAATGTCCCCTTTTCAGGCACATGCGTATCCACATTATAAAGGCTGCTGTATTAAAACGGTGACCCGGCAACCATTTTAATTAAGGAAAAGAAGACCAGGTAATATTCATGGAAATAAGACGTTCAATATTTTGATGATAAAGGCTAGCGTTCGTGTTTAATCAGGTGTCACGGTATGACATAGATTGGATAATTATCACGACCCCGAAACTCATTAAACATGATAATAATAACAACAACAACACACGATGCTTTAAAGCGTTCAGCAACAATATCAGATAAGACATACACGTCATTCGAACATACAAACCCTCAATACAGTTCTAGATCAGCTCATTTACATTATTCAAAATAGGTTTGTTTGTTGTTTAATGCCACATTCAGCAATTCGCCAGCTATGTGACGGCAGTCAGTAAATAATTCAGTCTAGATCAGACAATCAAATGACTGACATCATGAGCATCTACCGGGATACGATGACAAGTGTTAACCAAGTCAGCGAGCCTGACCACCCGATCCCGTTAGTTGCGTCTTACGACAAGCATGGGTTACTGAAGACTATTTCTATCCCCGGTCTTCACAACCTTGAAACGCAGCTGACACCCGATCATTCCATGACATATTCACAGTAATACTACGGGGTTCTTTGTTTTTAACATATATTCCAAATGACATGCAATACCATGATTACCGCAAATGAAAGGTTTCAGTGTGTAAAAACATTGATCAATACATACGAAAAACTATCATTCTGCAAAATGTATGTTTCAATAATGCATCACATTCACATCTTATATGTAGCTATTGAAATGTCAGACAACTATAGCCTAATCAAACAGTCATAATGATGCATCGAAATCCCTCTAGAAAATCAATGTGCATCCGTCAGATGCAGCGTCCACACATACAGAACCCCGGCTAGCTTGTATTCTGGTGTAAAACAACATTATGTTTGTATCTTCATTCAGTGCATGAAGGTCACACGATATATCTGTATGCATACATAAACCAAGATGAAACACAATCATATATATGTAAAACCTACATGGAATGAGATAAGGGTGGTTTTAAGTCGATGCATGTACATGTGACAGGGATAATATTGGATACACACTATGATGGCTGTAGTTGGAGGACTGTAGTGTGATGCAGATCTTACAAAACTTTTGAAATGAAGATCACTGACCATGATTCAGCGTACATATTAGTATCCCATGCAGTGTACAGGATATCAAAAGCAAAATGATGAAACGTTGTGTTGTCAAGTGAAAAATTGTCACTTGTGTTGTCAACTGAGAAATAGCCGTCAACAACATGCAACATCTACGGAGAATATTAGTGCATTATATATCTTTATGATGCACCGATAGATAAATATGTAGATAATCATAAATGCAGTTCATTATGACATCTGTTAATGTCGATATTGCATTTTGTTATACAAATATGAATATAATAAAAAGGCAAAAATACATGTTAATCCATTGACATACCTTGGTAGCCACAGTGATGCCTCCCGAGAGGTCGGGGCACTACACCGCGCGGCATCGCCCATCAAATCTCGTGTAGCCCGGCACAACACCACCCGACTCTACCCGCCGCTCCCTGCACGTATTCGAACACGGTGACAATATACCAGAAAAATCAGCTGCAGCGACATTGCCAAGATATTGGTTAGTCAGTCCACTGTCAACCGAATGCCGACCCCGCATCGATAAGAGGAAGATGGGAGACCCTTGACAAACTCCTGCAGCAACCCCTCTTCCTGATCCAGTCCCCAGCTACCTGTACCATCGCACCTCCATCCTCAACTGAATCTTCCGATGTTTCATAATGCAGTGATTCCCGTGCACGACGTCGTGATTGCTGTTAAATCCGTCCTTTACGATGGCGATGAATGGGCACACGGGGTGTCAAAGTACCTCCATCCTCCCTGTGCGCTCTTGTGCTGCCTCACCTGAATACATAACCGGCAACAGGTAATCAAGCTACTTAGAGAAACCACAGACCATACACTGTCAGTGGGTAGTATCTGCGGATACTCTGTTAGAGACAATAACGCGTTATCGTGGGCTCGCAACAAATGCCAGCAAGACAGTTACAATACATCCTGAAGCTTCGTGGACAGAAGCCTCGCTCAGTGAAAGGACTCAACGGTCACCCAATCTAGATGGGCAGACAGCCCGCGGTGGAACGACTCGCTAGTCCTTCGTGGAGGAATTTCTCGCTACACAAGACGGGAGAAGGCTCCTCTCGGTATAACAGCTGATTCGATTTGATCGGCTTCATTCGCGGAGATTCGGCAATCGGGTTGGCAATGAAGTGTAGAAAGCATTAACTGTAGCTGGAAACGTGCTTCGCCGCCCCGCCCTCAATAATGATTACCCTTACTGCAGCTAATGCACTTCGTCAAAATTAGCAGCCAACACCAAACAATGACTACAAAATAATTAAGTGCATCGTTTACTAGGAATAAAGCAAATTTGTTGGGGACTCAGTATATTGGACTTAGAGCCGTGTGTTTGGGAACTGCTGGCCCCACAGGATATACCAAATCAAATACTGTTATCATTCGATAGTGTGACCATAGTTGTACTGGACATTGGGGAACAGTAATTCATAGCAATTCAATCGAATAAATATTTTAACATCACTGTGAAAGCAATAAAGTAAACATTAAACTGTCATGTTTGTTTGTTTGTGCCGTCACCCGATGACTCGAATATTGTCAATATGTCGTAAAATTTTAACTCGCTGAGTTGATTGTTTGTTGTTTAATATTGCAGTCTGTGAACGTCAGAGAGTACTGGGGGAAATCGTGAGGTTGTTCAGTGATATATTTGCTGCAACTACGTTTGATATTCAGCATGATACCGATGTCGTAAATCTTCAACAATTTCAGTCTTATAAGAGAGTTGTCAATACAGCGTTGCCCTGTAAAGATTCGGGTCAGAATTGGTCTCCAGGAACCCATCGTTGTCGTGATAATGATCAGCAGGATCGGATGCTCAGTTGGGAAGAACGATGCTCATTGTGTCAATCACTGGATTGTCTGGTTCATACTCAGTTACTTCCAGTCCGCGATATAGATGTATGCCACAATGTGCAGCGTTAGAGGAACAAACATTATCTTGTTGGAAGTGAGATCAACAAACTGGTCTGCTTGTTTGCACAAACAGTTTGTGAATGAGTATTGTGTTTAGGCCCGATACGAAATTATATCATTTCAGTTATTTTTGCTTGTCTGTTGTACTCAACAGTATTCTAGGTGTATGACGGCGGTCTGTTAATAACTCTGTACCAGATAAATCAATGATTGACATAATGAATATCGAATTTTACAACTGGGTCACCATGACATGTATCAGGCACGTTAGGGAGCCTTAAAACCCGAGACCGCCTCCGTGGTGTAGTGGTTAGAGCGTCCGCCCGGAGAGCGGAAGGTCGCGGGTTCGATCCCCGACCGCGTCATACCAAAAGACGTTAAAATATGGTACTTGTTGGTCCCTGCCTGGCGCTCGGCATTAATGGGTACAACAAGGACTGGTCGGCTCGGAGTCAGTATAATGTGTCTGAGTGGGTTTCATGCTTCACTGCGGCATGGTATCTCAGTGGGCTAGCACTATAAAACCAGCTTCAGTCTGGGCTAGTACAAGCAGCCGCACATACACATACACACGTATGCACGTCGTCATATGAGCGAAATATTCTCAAGCACGACGTTAAAACCCAATTTCACCTCACCTCACCTTAAAACCCGATCCCGTTAGTCGTCATTTACGAAAAGCATGGGTTTCCAAAGACCAATTCAACCTCAGATCTTCACGGGTTTATGTATATAAAGAGGAGCAAAATGAGGTATAACTCTCGAGGTGATGAAGATGTTACTTGTTTACTATTAGTGAGTGAGTGAGTTTTTTTTTCCAGGATATCACGACGGTGGATTCTAGAACTTGGCTTCACACATAGCAACCACGTAGGGAATCGAACTGGGTCGAGGTCGTGACGAACGAACGCTTTAAACTTTAATCCTAGTGCAAACCCTTGAAGGTCCGGGTTAGAATTGATCTTCAGTAACCCGTGCTTGTCGTAAGAGGCGAATAACGGAATCGGGTGTCAGGTTCGCTGACTGGGTTGACACGTGTCATCGTATCCCAATTGCGTAGATCGCTCATGCTGTTGATCACTGGATTGTCTGGTCCAGACTCGATTATTTGCAGATTGCCGTCATATTAATGGGATATCGCAGAGTGCGGCATTAAACAACGTACCAACCAACCACCATTCTCGTGCAGAAAACGTGAGACGTGGTACCGCCGAGAAGCATAATTAGAGTGACTAAGACACCTGCCACAGGTGACTGAAATCACACGTTGGACCTCGGAGTGTTACTGTTGAGTAACATCATATGCATTGACATGATAAATTACCAGCTGTACTAATTAATCCGATAGCATCACATGACAAATACGTTAATATCACACGACAGGGAAATGCCAGCATCGACTACCTGACATGCCTGGTGTATATTTCACTTATTACTTAACACTTGTTCATGGTTCCCTTGGCAACATGTCAACAAAACACGTGGCTGAGATGTCAATCACGATGAAAGCAAACAGTATTTTGAAGAATATATGGTGATGACAAATTGATCCAGTATTGAACACTACCTTACACTGAGAAAAAAAAGATGGGATCGATTGGGTTCCAGGTTTGGTTGTGGTTTAGACCGTACAGGAATGGTTACATGTCTTGTAGGGAAGGGGACCACGGCTGACAGCTGATTGCCAGAATAAAACGGAAGGGGCAACGGGTCTCGGAGAAATGAGAGCAATTAACCCCGAATAGGGTATCCGCACGCTAAATCAAGCCGGGCTTCAGTCCATGTATTGATTGAGATTACAACGCTAAGCGAGGTGGACCAAGTTGGAGTGAAGTTCAGCTACGTGTTGCGTTTATGAAGCAATTTGTTATAATTTCGGAAGTTTTTAATTAAATTATATCGCTTAAGAGATTAAAATAGTATTATTCTTTGTTCTTTCAGATCTTAAAATTGATAATAGGACCATGTATGATGACTGATGCCGAATGTGTCTCTGTTTGTGTGTGAGTTTTTATTGTTGTTGTTTGTGTGTGTGAGTGTGTGTGTGCGCCTGTGTGCGCGCGCGCGTTATGTTGTATATCTATATATGAAGATGTTACAGTATATTATGTAAAGATTGCACCTCTGATGCCGCCTGGGTGTAAATAGAAATCAGTTTAGTTCAGTTCAGAAACTCTCTTGAATTATCAGTAGATATTATACACACAAACAAGAAAAATATCACTTTAGTGTCAACCTTGGCATTCTTGGTATTCATAAAAACCTAAATATGAAAAACGTATTCTTGTATCAGACCCATCAAGTTGTCTAACGGGAACAGGTTATCGAGTTCGTTGACTCGTTTGACGCATGTCATCGTGTCCAGGTTTGAGATCGACGCTAATAATGTCAATCAATGGATGATCGGGTCTAGGAGAATCCCAAATAAAAATAGTGATCGGTGGAATCAGTGAGATGACAGATACTGCAATTGGGTTTGGATCTTGAGCGTATACACCAGGCGTGCATAGTTGGTATCGTCATCTTAAATTAAGAGTTGGGACGATATATCGTAGTATCGATAATCGTGATACTGTATCTAACGATAAATGTATCGATACGTTTTTTTCGTATCGTGATATATATCGTTGACCTTAAAGTAGTTAATTTTCACTAGATATTGACGGTTATGTCAAAATTTACATTGTCACTTGCTATTAAAATAAGATTGTTTTAAAGAACATAACTAAAGATAGGATATCGTGATATGCATCGAATCGAATCGTATCGTTCCAAGATATCGCGATACATATCGTTTCGTGAAATTTCTGTATCGCCACACCTCTATCTAAAATGTTTGCATGGTCCCGATCCGTGAAGATCCGGGTTAGAATTGATCTCCAGCAACCCATGCTTGACGTAAGAGGCGACTAACGGGATCGGGTGGTCAGGCTAACTGACTTGCTTGTCATCGTATCCCAATTGCATAGATCGATGCTCATGCTGTTGATCACTGGATTGTCTTGTCCAGGCTCGATTGTTTACAGACCGCCGCCATACAACTGGAATATTGGTGAGTGCGGCGTTAAACAACAAGCCAACCAACTGATCTAAACCCCTGAAGACTCAGTCCGCCCTCGTAATTCTGTCACTTCTCAAGTTATGTTAATAAAGATTGTAATTTTGAACATACTAAACCAAGTTAAATAAGCATTCATAAGTGAATCGAAAACAAGCTCCACTTCAATCCAAACTGGGGAATCAAACCCGAACCCTCAGTGTGACGATACCTGTCACTACCAGCATGATCCAAAGCGCCCCATTTAAGAAATGAATGAAAACAATCTATATAGTGTAGGGCCATTAGAAACAATTCCTAATCCTGTTGTTTAGCGCCAGACTTGGCGGTGTTTCACTAGGGGCCGAGAGGTTTCAGGTGCGGGATGTGCTTGTTGTGGTTTGAATCCCTTGCGACCGACTGACATCACCATGTCCCTGGGGTTCAATAAACGTCTAAGACCTCTGCCAATTTAGTACAAGAATACGACACCTTGGACCGTGTGTAGGAATCCAATTATGAGATTATTAGGGCATGTTTAACTGAAATGGGTGTTTTTCCTGTCCATGCATTCAAATGGGTCGGGTTCTTTGTGTAGAGTTCCATCCCGTATTATCACCTTACTTCGGTATGTTGTGACCATCTGGTATCGGGCTACCCGATCCACATAGGTCTCGAACCCAGATTCGTATCAGTCATGAAGTTTGGTGTGTAATCACCTTACACATGCTCGCAGAGTTCACTAATGTTGTACACGATTGTTGTACTCGTAACAACAAAATGTCCGAGTGATGTAATGGGTTTCGAACCACTGACCATCTCATCAGAGTGAGTGAGTGAGTATTGCTTAACGCCGCATGAGCAATGTTGCAGCTATTCGCGGCGAGAAAATGACTTTTACAATACACCGAAAATAATAAAAGTGATGTTGAAAATCACTGAAATATCAGTCAAGTATCAAACTCAAGGGTACAAAACTGATCTCTGAAATAAAAACCTACATATTTTCATACAGTTTGAATTATTTTAAATATGCTAAAATCAAGTGGTTAAAAGCTTTATAAAAAAGTTCACATAAAGTAGGAACATTGTCATCAAAACGTTGTCTAATATGGGATAGGTCA